AGGCAAATGCTCTGCCACTGAACAACATCCCCATCCCCCACAGTTCTCATATAACACTTGGGAGGGTTTGGTTCTGTATCCTCCTAGACTCTTATAAGTACATATATTTTTATAAAAATAGGAGTATAACATACAAGTTGTAATCTGCTTTTTGAAATTTAAAAATGTATCTAAGACAGTTTCTATGTCAATAATAATTGATCTAAATCAAAACTTTCAAGGGAAACACATTTTCCTGATGGTTGCTCCATGGTATAGCTAGCCCATCCCCTATTGATGGACATTTGGGAGGGGATTTTCAGAGAACAGTTCTGTTTATCTTGGTACTCTGTATGACCCTAAAATCTGATGCTCTATTTGTTGGTGTATGTTTCTTGAGGCAACTTTATTTGAAATAATTTCAGAGTTATGGGAAAGTAGCAAGTATAGTAGAAAGGCTCTTGTACCCCTCTCTACAGGTCTCCCAACTGTGACTTTTTATCACATTGGTGTCATCTTCACTGTCACTCACATTTACTACCACAGTAAGAACTATTATCTTTCAGAACTGTCTGAGAGCAGTTGCTGACCCACTCCCCCTTTACTCCTAAACATCGCAGTGTGCACTCCCCAGAACAAGGACATTTTCCTCTATGACCAAAATCAGGACACTGACATTGGTCTACTTCTGTGATCCAATCTACACACCTTATTCAATTCCCCCAGCTACTCCAATAATATCCTTTATAGCAAAAAACATTTTCCATCCCAGGATCTGATCAGGGACTGTGCCTGGGACAGTCCTCAGCCCTTCTCTTCCATGATACTGACCCTTTTAGAGTGCAAGCCATTTATTTCATGGAATCCCTCTATTCCAGTTTGTCTGATGTGAGTAGAATCAGCTTAGCTGATCTTCTGCTCCTCATCCCAAGTAGGTTTTGGAGAATGTGTGAGCAGGGATCAAGAGGGAGGCTGTGGGTGGCTTCCCAGTACTATCTGAATGAGTCGTCATGTGTCCACTGAAGGAAATCACAGACACACCGCATTTAATGAGTGAAAAAATACATTCCAATGCCAGCTGAAAATAATGTTTGCCATTCAAGGTGGACGTCTCGAATATTGCTCTTTTTCAAATGAAAACACATACTGCAAGTAACTTGTCTTAACTAGCACTTCACCCTTCAAAGGAGTCATCTCGCATACCTGCACCTTATTCATTAAAATGTTCTGATCAATATGACAGGAACTCTCCCTTTAGAGCTGGGTTCTAAGACTGCTGTCGGATGTACTCTAGGGCTTTATGTTTCCAGGGTAGGTCATTATCTGGAAATAACCAGTATTGGTCAAGGCTCTTAGTTGCCAACAACAGAATCCACTATGATATCCAGTTGGAGGAGAAACAGATTTATTCTGTTATATTGAGGACCCGACAGATGGGCTAAGGTGTCTTTTTTTTTTTTTAAGAGAGAGAGAAATTTTAATATTTATTTTTTAGTTTTCGGCGGACACAACATCTTTTTTCGTATGTGGTGCTGAGGACTGAACCCGGGCCGCACGCATGCCAGGCGAGTGCGCTACCGCTTGAGCCACATCCCCAGCCCGGGCTAAGGAGTCTTGTTTGGATATGGTGCATACAAAAACAAAGAGACCAGAGACTCCTGGCAGAAAACCTCCTCACGGCTGCCCATTGCCTGTGATGATTGAGTTTACCTGGGCCATTTGGGGGGAGGTGGGGCAGAGGCGTCTAACCCTGCATTCATCAAGACCACCAATCTCCACGCTTATGGAGAATACCTTGCATGTCCTTGTTTTCCTCTCTGAGCTCACGAGAGCTCTGCAGGTTGAGAAATGTGGGCCCCATGCCAGCACCCAAGCTGCGAGGGTTGAGGAGCATATAACCTGGTGCAAAGATGAACAGTGAAAGGATCTTAGACCTTGATTCTATTTCCAGCTCCGTCACTTGGACTGGAACTCAGGGAAGTTCTTCTGAGTCTCCTACAATGTCTACTTCTTGAAAGGAAAGTGGTTTCAGGGACCGGTGCCCCTACAAATGAGGGCCACTCATGTCCCCAGAGCCTGAATTTCTCTCCCTTTAAGCTCATACAAAAAAGACTTCTGAACTAGAGGTCTGCGCTGGTTTTTACCTTCCTCCTTCTAGAGTGTCACCCGTGGTGACACTCAGGTTGTGGTGGCTGATTGTGGTCTGCCCTGACTCTGAGGGAGGAAAAGAGACACAGAGGTGTGGGTGATGGTGGGAAGTGGGCCCAGGCCTCTTCTCTCTTGCTGGAGTTTGGACTCATCCTAGATCTACCCAGTCCTGGTGTCCCAAGCTGGGTCCCTCCAGACCTGGAGGCCCAGCAGAGCATGGGAAGAGACAGGAGACCAGGAAGGCTGAATTTGGGGCAGGAAGGGGCTAGGGTTCTCTGCCTGTAAACACTTTAATACTCCTTCTCACCCCTGGTCCTGGGGATTGAACCCTGGGTGCTTAATCACTGGGCCATATCCGCAGCCCCTTTTTATTTTTTTGATACAGGGACTTGCTAAGTTGCTTAGGGCCTCACTAAATTGCTGAGGTTGGTCTGGAACTTGGGTTCATCGCGCCTCGGCCTCCCGAATTGTTGGGACTCCAGGCGTGTGCCTCACCACCAGACTTTTTTCAGAGCTCTTGAAATTGGGCTGTAGAAGACATTTTACTCTTGGAACATAAGAACAATAATTTAGAATTTCTGCTTGCAGTTATTTTAACTCTAAGTAAAGCAAATTAAGTGTCACTGATATCAAGTATGTAGAACGAGAATAGTTCAGGTGTAAAATTTCTACACATGTTGAAATGTGTTTTCTCAGAAAATCATCACTGACAGGAGCGTGAAAAAGAATGTTTGGAGGTCTCTGAGGTAAATAGAAGATGTGAAGGTACAAAGGGCAGATAATGACGTGGGAATCAATTGATAACTGGTGGATGGAGATGTGAGTGGGCATTGATTTTCTTTTTCTTTCCTCTTCTTTTTCTCCTCCTCCCCTCCTCCTCATTTTTTTTTTTTTTTTTTGCACTAGGGATTGAACCGAGGGGCACTCTACCACTGAACTGCACCCCTAGTCCTTTTACAAACTTTTGAGACAGGGTCTTGCTAAGTTGCTGAGGCTGGCCTCCAACTGGCTGCTCTCAGCCTCCTGAGTCATGGGCCTTGATTTTCAAGACCATGACTTTTGGTGGTGGGGGAAATTTCTTTGCCCTGGATGTCACTGAGAAGTGTGATTTCTAGAGGTTTTTCTCCAACCCCACTGATTCAAAGAGGCAGGGTGACGTTGCCTATTTCAACAGACAATCTTAATAAATTCTGAGGATCCTTGGTCTCTAGCCCATGGAAACCAGGTGACCACATCACAGGGCCCAAGTGGGAGAAGGGTCCCTGGCATGCCAGCTGCTGTTCTAGACACGACCTTGTTGGTAAGAATGGTGAGATGATAACCCTTAGTCTTATGGGGATTTAGTGTGGTCATCAATTACCAAGTTAGGTTTGGGGGACCACACACATCCTAGGATGGGTGGTATTGATTACTACAGAGTTTCTCCAGTTGTGCTAACTCCAGGACAATGAGGTGTCTGGAAAGTCACTTTGTGTTTCTAAAGCAGAAGATCAGGTTGGTATTCTTGGTTCAGCACAGGTTGTCGATTAGGTGTGTGTGTGTGTGTGTGTGTGTGTGTGTGTGTGTGTGTGGTGTGACTTCTGGGCCCCTCACAGAAAGAACTCTGTCTACAGCCTGTGCTTGGAGTCCAAGAGGACCCATTTATTGACACACACATTGCTGTCTCTGCCCTAATCTGAGGTCCCCCTGGTGAGGTGGCCACACCACTGACTAGTTGGTGGTGAGGCTGGGAGGCGGGAGGGAACACCTTCTCTCTCCATGATAACTGAGGAGCTCAGGTCCTTCAGAGTCCTGGGATTTTATGCCCTTGTGCCCAAAGCGGGGTGCCCCAACTTCACAGAGGAAAAGGGAGTTCTAGGTCTGGCATCAGAAACATCTAGAATCAAAGATTCTTCTTCCAAGCTCTCCAGTAGCAGGATCACTCCTCTTCCAGGAGAAGAAAGAGCGTTTGTGCATTTCCGTCCAAATCTAAATGAGTTACGTTCCCTGTTGGTAGGCAGATTTTCTGCACGCACCCCTGCTCTTTCTGGCAGAACCGATGATTCTTGTAGCAAAACGGCCATGTGGGCTGCCAGTTAGCAGACGGATTTGCTGCCTCGGAAGACGGGCAATGTCGCCAGTTAATCTGTAGAGTTGTTGGGCATCTTTTCTTCCGTGGTCTCCCCAAGCTTGACATTGTTGTCCACAGCTACGAACATCGGGCTTACCTGCTTGGAAGTGATGAGGCTGCTGCTCCACAAGGAGAACACGGAGGCGATGGGAGTCATGCTGAAGGAGGGTCTCTCGGGGTTCCTCCCTGGGGACTGGGTGAACCTCGAAGTCTCCTGGACTTTGTTCTGGGAACTGGAGGTGGATTTCCTCACAGGGTGCTTGAGCCACCTCCCGGGTTTGGAGGAGTCCATGGTCATCGTTTGGAAGGACGCTGTCCCAGAGGTCATGGGGTCCTGGAGGAACCACCAGTGGCAAAGCAGGTAGGCCGGTATCGGCAGAAAGGCGAAGACGCTGAGGAAGGTGACCCAGCCCAGGGCGCTGTTCGGGTAGGGCTGCTTTACTTCCTGGCTCTGGGGGAGAAAGGGAAAATGCAGGAGAGGAAACAGTGACGACTGAGGGGGTTTCGGTCCGTGTATTCCTGGGCCTGGGATTTCCCAGGGGCTGGGAAGCGTGTTAAAAGGATGCTGCGCCAGTGGGAGTCCAGACCTGGAGTCCTGTGGGTGGTGGACTTGATAAGCGACCCCCCCTCAGTGGGATGGGTGGCCAGGCTTGGGGATCATCTCACCATACTTCTGTTCCAGGTAATATAGGAGGTTTCCTTGTGATGGAGGGGCAGGATGCAGATGGTGAGGAGGGCCAGCAGCCCGGGCAGTGTCACGTAGCACCACAGGAAAGTGAAGGAGGGTCTCAGAAGGCGCCCTAAGTCACGGATCATCTCCTCCCTAAACCTGGGGTGGGCAATGGTCAGGGATAGCTGGGGCTTGAGGGCCTGGCAAGGGTGGGCCTGTGGCCCTTTGGCTTTTTCATAGCTCCCAACTCTTAGGGGCTACCCAGCTCTCTCCTGGGGCTGGATCTCTCGGGCCACCCCATGGGATTCCCTCAGTCTGTGGATCTGCCTTGCCCAGCCTCCATCTTCAGGCCAACCCAGGACTCCCTGTTTTCACAAGACCCACCACTGCCCTGGGGTCACTCCCTGCTGCAACCCTGAAGCTCTCTCACAAACCCTCCTCCCCGCCATGGGGACTGAACAGGCTCCAACATCCCCATAGGAATGGGAAGGGTCCACACACAGCTGGGCAGATCACCTGTGGGCTCCATAGATCCAGGACAGAGCCATATTCTGGAATGTCACAATGGCGACAAGGGTGAGAGGGACCAGGTGGTCATCAAACAAAGACATTATGTAGCTGCCGGCGTGACTGCTGAAGACGAGGCTGCCCAGAAGCCCTCCCAGGCAGACGACAACTAAGACAGAGGTGGGTTTGGTTCTATGGAGGCCTGTATGTAGGGCTCGGTTGGTGTCAAAGTGAATCCTGAAAATCTGGGCTAAACTTGGGGCAAAGGACAACAGGGCAAAGTTTTTGCCGGGTGAGAATCCACATACCTGGGGCCAGGCCGGGACACTTCACGAAGACTGTGGAGTTCTGGAGAGAAAGGACAATGTTCTCCGAGGTTTTTATCAAGGTGCCCAGGCCTGTGATGAACAGAGCCAGGAAGAAGAGGATGGCCCAGAGAGAGGCATGAGGGAGCAATGAGACGGCCTGGGAGAAGGCTGCAAATGTGAGGCCAGGGCCCTCCATGAGCTGTGGGGGAGAAGGGCTCTGAGGCAGTGGTGCATCTGGATGCAGGGATGGTGCAGTAATTGATTAGCAATGTCTAGGCAGTGAGCATGGACACGGCAGATGGAGGGTAAAGTGCCCTTCTGGGTTTTGTTAGCTAGGTGAACTCCACCTCCTGGAGCCTCAGTTTTCTCCAACAAATAGGGATCCCAGGGCTGGTGTATTTAACAACTTAGCAAAGGCCCCAGCACATGGAAATGGTGGTAGAACCAAGATCAGGACTATTACCTGCCCCAGAGATTTAGTTGGTCCACGAGGCTCCTGGGAAACACATTTCCCAGTGTCCTCTGGGGTCTTTGGGAAGCACCTGCCTGTCCCCACAAACGCACCTTTTCCTTCTGCTCTCTGACACTGCAGGACAGGGAGCGGTGGATGACCTGGTACTGGAGGTATCTGGGGAGGTGGATGATCCAGTTCAGGTAGTCCTGGGGGAGCATGAGCAGGATGTTATCTGGGGGCTTGGCCTCCTTGGGTAGCACCCCAACGGATATCAGCTCTATCAGCCTTGAGACACTCCTAAAGGGGAGGTAGAGGAAAAGAAGAGTGGTAGAGAACATGCGGCCCTTCTGCCATCTGCAAACTAGGAAAATTGAGGACCCGGAGGAAAGGGAGTTGTCCAAGATGCCTGTTGCTGAGGAATAAGGGCACCCGGATAGGGCCAGAAAGCTAATCCAGTGGCCTTGGGGTGAGTCATTGGGAGCCCACCTAAGGGACAGAAGATTTTATATTTTCTGTAGCTAGTGCTCCTCATTATTATGAGTTACATTTTGTCCCACTTACATTTCCTGCGTTCAAGTCCTAACCCTCATCAGTACTTCAGAATGTAACCTTATTTGGAAAAAGGATCACTGTTAAGATGAGGTCATGCTGGAGTAGGTGGGTCTTAACCTCATCTGGCTGGTGTGCTTCATATAAAGGGGACATTTGGACACAGGTACCCTTACAAGGGAAAATGCCATGTGAAGATGAAGGCAGAAAATAGGGTGATGCATCTACAAGATAAGGAATGTCAGACTGCGAGGAAACACCAGGAGCCAGGAAAGAGACCTAGGCGGACTCATGACACTCAGAAAGAAACCAGCCCAGCATCACAGTGTTCAACACCATACCCATTAGACACATGCTATTTAAATTAGGTTTAATAAAATTAAAAATTTAGTGCCTCAGTCTCATCAGGTACATTTCATCACATTTACCACCTTCATATTCTCAATGGCCACATGTGGCTTGTGGCTATGGTGTTGGACAATGCAGACATAGAACATTTTCCACATCATAGAGATCTACTGCTCGGTGCTTCCCTTGGAGATGTTGGTTCTCAATCTAACCTGTTCATTGGAATGACCAGGGAGTTTTTTAAAGCACAAAACTCAGTTTTTACTGAGCTATAATATACAAACAATAGAAGGTACAGGTACCAAGTATATACCTCAATGAGTCTGGATGACTGCATATAGCCAACACCCCAATTTCCACCGCACTGGTTACTTAGAGCTCCTTTCTAGTTATTTTCCTTCCATCCCAGAGGCAGTACTAATTTGCAGCAGTACATATTCATTTTATACCTGCTTGCTACAGTCAATATAACAGCTGATTCATCCATATTGTTGCATATATCAATAGTTGTCTTAGTCTGTTTTCTGTTGCTATAACTAAATACTGCAGACTTGGTAATTTTATAAAGAATAAAGGTTTATTTATAAAGGTTTATTCATGGTTCAGGAGAACTAAGGTCAAGGGGACTCATCTGGTGAGAGCCATTTTGCCCGTGAGGACTCCAGAGAGTCTTGAGGTAGCTCAGGGCATCAATCACATGACAAGACAGAGCAAGCTTGTTAGGTCAGGTCTCTCTCTTTTTTTTTTTTTTTTTACTGGGGCGGGGACATTTAAGCACTGAGCCACACTCCAAGCCCTTGTTATTTTTGAGACAGGGTCTTGCTAATTTGCCTAGGGCCTTACTAAGTTGCTGAGGCTGGCCTCAAATGTGGGATCCTTCTGCTTCAGCCTCCTGAATTGCTGGGATTGCAGTTGTGTGCCATCACACCTGGCATTTGATGATTTTTTGATGCCATTGTAAATGGTTTTAGTTTAGAAATTTCATTAACCGTGATTACTAGTACGTAGACATATGGTTATCTTTGTTTAAAGGCTTATATTTTTGTGACTTTCTTAAGTGCCCTTATTTATTTTAGTAATTTTTGTAGATTCTTTAGAGTTTTCCAAATATGCACTTGTACATCTGTGAATAAAGACAGTTTTCCTTTTTCCTAACAGTTCTTTACTATTTTCAGTGGGAAAGAACTTCACTGGAATATTGAAGTGGTTTAAAAAAGAAAAAAGAGGGTTTCATTTCCTTGTTTTCAGCACTAGGGGGAAGTGTTCAAACTCTCACCACTGGGGAGGATGTCCCTGTAACTTGTCCTGACTACACTATAAAAGGTTCCCGACTGAGGATGACTTCTCCCCTCCCCCCCAGGAGCCTTTGACAAGGTCTGGAGACTTTTTGGCACAATGGAGGGTGGGTGGGGGTGGAGGCTGCTAAACATTCTACATTGCAGCCTCTGATGCCATCCTAATGAGTGATCTGGGCAAAATTCCAAGGGTCCAGATAGAGAAACTCTGCCTTAACTGTTGGAGGAAGTGCTGTTTTGTTTCTAATTTGTTGAGAATTTTCATTTTCTTTTTGTCATTGGTTCTTTTCCTTAATCTGTTAATGCAATGAATTGCATGAATTGATTGATTTCTGGAATAAATCCACTTGCTCGTAATGCAAATTGCTAATACTTTAAGAATATTTTCAAAAAGACACTTGAGAAGTATTTCTCCTTCCTTTATTACTCTAAAGGGTTTGTGTTGGGGGCTGGAGCTGTAGCTCAGTGGTAGACGCTTGCCTAGCATGTGTGAGGCACTGGGATTGATCTTCAGCACCACATAAAAATAAATAAAATAAAGGCATTATATCCATCTACAACTAAAAAAAAAAAAAAAAAACAGGGGGCTGGGGATGTGGCTCAAGCGCTAGCATGCGTGCGGCCCGGGTTCGATCCTCAGCAGCACCACATACCAACAAAGATGTGTCCGCCAAGAACTAAGAAAAAATAAATAAATGTTAAAATTCTCTCTCTCTCTGTCCCCCTCTCTCTCTCACTCTCTCTAAAAAAAAAAAAAAAAAACAAGAACTTGTGTTGGATTAGTTTTACATCTTCCTTGATTATTAGATGGAATTCACTAGGGAAGCAATATGGGCCTAGAATTTTCTTTACGGGAAAGTTTTAAATCATAAATTTAATTTTAAACTCAGAAATGGTGCTATTTAGATTTTCCATTTCTTCTTGTGGCCAGACTTGATAATTTGTACCTTTCAAGGAGTTTGTCTATTTCCTTTACATTGTCAAATTTATTTGTATAAATTTTTCACAATATTCTTTATATATATATGTTGTAGTTCCACACAATACCTTTATTTTATTCATATGTGGTGCTGAGGATGGAACCCAATGCCTCATATGTGCTAGGCAAGCTGAGCCCCAACCCCAGCTGCCCCCGCTCCCCAATACTCTTTTAATGTTGGCAGGATCTATCGTGGTTAATCCCACCTGTCCCCTCTTTTTTCGTACTGGGATTGAACCCAGGTGTGTCTCTACCACTGAATTATATCCCAGGCCTTTTATTTTTTATTTTGACGCAGGGTCTTGCTAAGTTACTGAGGCTGGCCTCAACTTTATGATCCTTCTGCTGAGACTTTAAGTATCTCTTTGTCATCTCTTTGTTATTCCTGATATTTTAAATTTGTATTTTCTTTATTTTGTATTGAGAGGGAAGTGTTGAAATCTCCAATTACAGTTACACATTTATCTGTTTCTTTAGTGCTGAATTTTTTTCTCCTGTGTGTGTGTGAGAGAGTTTGAATCAGGGCCTAAGCACGCTAAACGCATGCTCCATAGTGAGCCGCACCCTCAGCCCCTATCTTTTTTTCACGTTTCTGTCTTTTAGCTCTGTTATAAGGTGTAAAAACATTTAAATAATGCAGATACCCTGATGAATTTGCCCGTTCCTCAATATGGAAAATCTCTGGTATTATTTGTTTTGACTTTTTTTGACATTAATAGAGGCACAATAGCTTTCTTATAATTATTTCTTGACACGGTATTTTTTTTCCATTCTCTTACTTTAAGCATATTTATATCTTTAAAAAGGACATTTTTTTTAAAACAGGATATGACTGGGTCTTGAATTATCTAGTCTGACAATTGCTGCCTTTTAAGTGGGGTACTTATTTAATGTAATTATTGATATGGTCTATTTAGGGGGAGGTTACTGAGTGAATCCAGGGATGCTCTACCACTGAGCTACATCCCAGTCCTTTTTAAAAATTTAAAAAAAAAAAAATTCTTTTTTTTTTTTTTTTTT